CTGACAAAAATATGGAATCGAAATAAAGTATATTACAGGAGATATTCAGTTGTTTTAATCATAAAATGGATTTCTATTTGACAACTAGTGCCAGTACTTTTCCGCGTATCAAGATCACCTGCATTAAGTATATAGTTGAGCGCCGGACGTACCCTACAAAGCAGTTGTTTTATTTGAAACGCACCGGGACCCAACCAAAACATCTGCTTTGCAGGTTAGCTGAAGTTGGTATGTAGTCTTTTTTAGTGCCCTCTTAGTTATTATTAATTAGTGGTTAATACTATATATTCATGCTTATTACTATTATTAATTTTTAAACTATAGTTATAGAACTTTTATAAATGTGTAAGATTGTGAATGTGTTTTACTGTATATATAATATATACATCATGAGCGGCCGTGTTGTATCAGATATACAAACTCGAACCGAAGGTGAGACGAAGTCTATGCAAATCAGAAAAAATTGTACGTGCGGATTAAACACTAACATACTTAACATTTTAAATTTTGTTCATTAATTATTAATGATTTTACAATTTTTGTACTGTATAAAGTGATGAAGTAAAGTTACTTGAGCTTGCGTTTCATTTTGACGTTTAGCTTTCTTGAATATCATTCATCTATACTGTCTCAATTTTTGTTTATTTCACGAAATACATTCAAACCCGTACCTAAGATAGTGCTTTCTGGTATTTTGGACATATTTTGGTCAAGCAAAACACCGAAAACACGCGACCATGCAATCAAGCAATCAAGCAAACACAGACAGCTTTGTAAGCTTGTAAGCTGCTTTTACTGTTAACACTAAAATTAGCTATTATGTATTACTGTAGTTTGATCTAGGTGGCCTAAATTACATAAGCCGTTATGGTTTCTTTTGGGTTTCCTTGCCTTACAAAATGTTTTGTTTTTTTCTTTTTGATATTTTAAACATTTTTTTTATTGGCTAAATAAATTGACTTGACTGAACACCAACCGTGTTTAGATCACTGTCTATACTGAAAGTTCCAAATTTTGTTTGCTTATGGCAATTCCATCATTAATACTTAATTATCATGGTTTAAACAGAAGGAGGTTTACTGAGTCTGAAGTTTGTGTCTGTGTTTTAATTTCTTTTCTTTGTTCTGAACGCGGAAAAATTGCTCACACATTAAAAATGTTTGCCATTCAAATAAAAACGAACCCCTGCTATTGACCTGTCAAAACAAGGTCAATTTATAAATATTTAAAATGAAACCTCATTATTATTTGTTATGTCAAAAATAAAAATGTTAAAATGAAACCTGATTATTTCATGGTTCTAAGCCG